GGGGGGGGGGGCACACCTCATCAACAAGGGTACCTGCATAATGAACATTTGTATACCTAACCCCGAATTGTACCCCACATCTTTAAAATAAAAAATTAAAAAAGAAAATCAAACTATCAAAAAAAAAAAAAAAAGAAGAAAAGAAAAAAAATCAGACTATTATGGAAACTGCTTTACCCCAAATTTTGATTCACAGCCTCCATTGTATTACCTATTGGGGCAAACCAAGTTTAGCCAGGTGAACATGTTTGCAAACTGGTGAGTTTGTATTGCTTTCTCATGGCAATACAAACTTATCTTTGTTTATGTGTGTGTATATATATTTAGGTGTGTTTATGTGTCTGTACATTTATGTTGTGTATATAGGGTACCAAATTGGCTTATACATACAAGAGAGCTCATAGATTAAGTAGCAAGCCCAAGTGTTTTTCAAGTTCAGGTGACTTAAATCTTTAAAAAATCAAGCTGACTTTAAGATTATTGGTAAAATAAAAATAGAAATGCCTTCAGAATTGTTAGCATACTTTTTTTCTGGTTTTTATATTTGTCCCTGCTAGATTTTTTTTTTTTTTTTTTTTTTTTGAGTTGGAGTCTCATTCTGTTGCCCAGGCTGGAGTGCAATGGCACACTCAACGGCCACCCCAGCGTCGACCTCCTGGGCTCCGGCTATTCTTCCACCTCGGCCTTCCAAGTAGTCAGAACTACAGGTGCACGCTACCATGCCTGGCTAATTTTCTGATGTATTGTAGAAACGAGGTCTCACCAAGTTGCCTGGTCTGGTCTTGAATGTGTGGGCTCAGGCAATCCACTCGCCTTGGCCTCCCAAAATGCTGGGATTATAGGCTGAGCCACTGAGCCCGACCGATATTTTAAGATGTCAAGGTTTGGCACAAATAGTTAAAAGACTGTAAACACAACCAAGAACAAAATGATCTTTGTGTGTTTTTTTGGTAAATAAGATTAGCTTAATATTGCTAGTTATTAAAAACAGATAATCTTCTGAGTTATTGGAGAAAATAACCATGTATTTCAAGTTCTTACGTAGGTGAACTTCTAACATGCATAGGATTTAAAAATGGTTAACAAGGAAATAAAGAATAACTTTGTCTAATATCTTAGTTCTCATTGGTAATCTAGCTATCCTCCTAAAAATGAATGAAATATAAATGTGGGTAAATGCTATAGGTGAACCCTTTGTGTACTTTAAAATATTGAAATTATTTTGGATACTCATTAGATATCTGGGTCATTTCCAATTAAGAAAGGGTTGTGATATAAGGAAACATATGAGACTCTAACT